TCCGAGCCCGCTTATCCGCCCTCGGGGATTGGGGAACGCGGGTGGGGAGCGCCAGGGTCCCGGCCAGGCCGGGTCAAGCTTTGCTCCACCTGGGAGATCCCGGACGTCTCCGGGCTTCCCGGGAAGCTGAGCTCAACTTCGGAGCCTGGGGCTTCCGGAGCACTCCAGGCGAGCGGGCTGTTCTGGTGAAGAATATGGAGAAAAAAATCCTTTTCTGCTTTCTTATATAGTGACATATAACACATGCCCACTGGCTTTTCTGCTTCGGAGGAGCTGGCTCTTTTGAACTGTCCTCAGAAAGCAGAATATTGTAAATACAGAAAACTGGCTTTTTGCTCCACAGCTTAAGCAAGCAAATGCAATCTAGTGCTGTTGTTGCAGCCGCCTCTTAAGTCAGTAGAGTAAATATCATTACAGAACTGAGAGGCGGACTTGATGTTAAAAATAAAAGTAAGCCTGGTGTTAAAAGTGAAAACATGCACGGTTCTACCAGATAGATATTTTTAGATCTTTTTGTACATTTTTGACTAGCAAAGTTCAAGTAGCTTTCAAAGAGATCTTGGAAGACTTTCTTTTCTGAGGTGAAAGAAAACCAGTGCAGTTTAACCGTGTCTGTTTTCATTTTCACTAAGGATGTGTTCCTTCTCTATGTGCTTTGAAGAAATGCTAAGGAAGCTACTGGCTTCGAATTAGGGGGTTTTGTTAGCGCTTGGCTTCCTGCATTACTGTCTCTTTCAAGCATTAGTGCCTCAGAATAGTTTAAGAAAGCTAACATTTAACGTAACTGTACCTGAAAGGAGGTTAGGGCCACGATACTCCACGAGGAATCGTGTCCTCCCTGAAGACCTTTCTTTGAACCCCTGCAGGGTGGCGGGAGTCATTGTGTGCTCACCTCCCGAGGAAGCTTCTGAGATCGTCATGGGCGCTTTACGAGCGGGTAAGATCCACTGCTGCACGTGCAGCTCCTGTCTGTGCTCGTTTGCTGGGGGAGGCCTTGCATGGCCACTTGCTGGCCAAACACACTTGGTGCCTCTTTCTCAAATAATTGCATCTTTCTGTACGTTGGTCACTTGTGCTTTAACTCTGTACTTTGCAGCAGTGTCCCTTGAGATGTACAGACTGATTGCATAATTAAAGAGAAATTAGTTCATTAATGATGCTGGTGTTAATGGCTCAGGTGCAAATGGTGTTTGTGCTATGCTGTTCTCATTACCAGCACTTCAAATTTCCAGTTCTAGAAGTTCAACCAGGAATAAAAGGAAAGTTAGCTATAAAACCAGTGTGACCTCTTGGGTTCTGTAAACTGGTTAATGAAACCATAGCAGCTGGCAGCAAAAGGGATTGAGTATCATCAGCATAAAAGCCATGCTGTGGTTTCTTGGAACATGCCTTTTAGAATGTACTGACTTACTGTATACAATATTGCAAGATGAACAACGTTCAGCTCACATTGTGCCCTGCCTTCACTTCTATATTCTGTGACATTTTGCATAGGGAAAGGTGTATTTTGCGAGAGGCTCCCCAGTTTAGACAGGCAGACAGCAGAAGCTTGTTTTGATGAAGCTGACAGATGTGGAAGACCATTGGTTTGTGGATTCTACAAGTAAGACCAGCCTTTTTCTTCTGCTCTATGCTTGTTAAGAAGTGCATGTCTGAAAGTAGCACTGGTTTCCTCAAATAAGCTTTGTTTTGTTGCTGCTTGTCAACATTGTTTGGCACCGAGGTTGGATTTGATTAATTCTTTATGCTTAATGGAGGTGAAATCTGGTCTGTTACAGAATTAAAATACATACTGACATACTGAATTATATACAGATGAGAATGGAACTCAAATGATTAAACTTTTGAGACATGAAAGCCCCTGTTTTTTAGAATGGACATAGGTGATTTCTGCAGATACTTTGAGACTTGGGAAAGGCTAGTTGAAGCTGGAAGGAGGGAAATATTCTGGCAATGCTGGGCCCTTCTCTAAAGCAACTTCTTGGCCTGTGGTTTTAGGAACAAAAGGAGTTTGTTCATAGGTTGTGTGTGTGTGTGCACGTGCTTATATACAACGGCTGGGTCGGGCAGATCGGTGGTTTTGTTAAACACGCGGCTACTGAGATTTTCATTGGTTTTGGGGTAAAGCATTCATTGTTTTCTGGGTAAATGCTGCAGCATTAAGCTTTGTTCATTTATAGCAGACATCTTGATGAAACGTCAGGCCCCGCGGGTTGTGCTGCTCTGCCTTTAGAGGAGATACAGCCGGTAACACCCAGGATTGCAAAGTGCATGTTTGTAAAAATGCTGCTTCACATTAGGGTTGTTGGCCTGTCTGATAGGATACATTTATTTATCCTTATACAGTGAAGCTTCCACTTGTGACTTTTCATCACAAAGTGATTGAATAATCGAACCAGAAAGAACGTAGATTAATTTTAACTCCCTTCATCTCTTTAAACCTCAGGGAACTCTGCTATAAGCAAAGAAGCTACTTTAAACTTATGATTTAACAAGGCATGTGTAGTGTGGATGTGGGTTGTTAGTAAACGCGCTTGGCTGTTTACTGCCCTCCTCTAGGATGGTCCCTTTCAGCACCAGCAACAATTCCCTGCACTGTGAATGCGTTTTGTGAGTGTTAGTGCATAATCACACAAAACGCCCACGTTAACGTTGGCCTGTTCAATCTGAGTGCTCTGTGTACAGGCCTGTTCCCCAGCCATTAAGCTGAATGTGAACTTCTCTTGAATATCCATTCTGGTCCACACTCACCTGAATATTAGCCTGAAAGTGAGGCTCTAAGAAGAGCTACCTGTAACTTAATGGACTTCTAAATCCTTTTAGTCCTTGTAGCTTAATTTCCTCTTTTAAGTTGTTGATCCTTAAGTGCAGTGAAGTGCGGATGTTGATGCTTTTTGCAAGAAGCAAAGTGCTGTGTACAAGGTGCTGAACTTGGAGAAGTGGATGGGGAAGGCGGCGCGGACGCCCGCGCGTGCGCGGAGGGGCAGAGCGGAGCCCTCCGCGCCCAGCACCGTCACCCCTGCGTGTTTCTCTTTGCACCGAAGGCGTTTTGACCCCGCGCTGCAGTTCTTGTACAAAAAGGTCCGTGACAGCCGGGCGCTGGGGAGGATTCACCGCATATCGACCATCAGCAGCATTTACCCCGCAGCCTCTCTCAACTTCCTGAAGAAGTCAGGTACAGCAGCTTTCCTCTGAACGTCTGTTCTCAAAGGATTAGAAATGTGCTTGCCCCTTGATCTCACCAAAGATTAATTCTGCTTGTGTGTTCTAGGATGCATGTTTTTTTCTCTTTTGAGGAGTATTTTCTGTAATGTTTGTTTCTGTTGTACAAGTATAACTCTTTGTATTAGATTTTGCTTTTGCATCGGTCTCGGTGCAGTTCAGAAATGTAAATTTGCTGTGAGTTTTAACTATGAAGACCTTCATGCCCAGTTTTGCTTCTTCCAGGTGGAATTTTTTATAATGCTGCGGTGCATGATATAGATATCATCAGTTTGTTGCTGGGAGAGAGTGCACCAGATACAGTATTTTCACTGGGACATGCATTCTGTGCAGGTAAGGCTAAATCTGTGGATAATTGATTCTGTAACTTTTGCACTTTTCAGTTATTTCATATTTCAGTACTAGCCTTGGGGAAAACAAAGATTGTATGGTACATTGTTCCCTTGTGGAATTACACACAATTATTCCCTCATGGAGCTGTTGAAAAAACAGCCTAGTGCAGTAGAAGACAAGTGCTAAGGGGGTTGCTGTAGACAGGGTATTTTGGCAATTATTTCTGCATTTTTGCCAGTTCCCTGCAAAAAAATAAATTGCTGCAGAGAGATCCCTGAGCTTGGCCCTGTGAAGAGCTGAGGGATGTAAGAGCTTGCAGTCTAGAAACCCGCGTGCAGAAGGCAGCTAGCAAAGCTCTGCGCTTACAGCGATGTCCGTGCGGTCTTTCCAGTTCCCTGTTTGACTCTGACCTCCCTCGTGCTCGGTGCTGTTTGCTCTTTGCTGTTCCTGATATGAGCGAGTGCCTCTCTTGTCCCTCAGATATGGCCTACTTGAAGGATGCCGACACTGTAGCCGTCAGCATGAAGTTTCCTAGCGGAGCAATTGTTACTTTGGACATCAGCCAGCACTGCACTAGGAGCTGTGATCACAGACTGGAGGTGCGTTCTCGCTTTTTGATAAGTCTCTTGTGTCACCGCAGGCTGGAGTCAGTTCTCCCGAGCGTACGTTTGTGGGGGCCGTGTGTTGTGCCCCACGGATACACCTGCACTCCCCAGAACGGCTCTGTGCCTCCGCACCTTGCAGCAGCTCTTGAAGCTGCAGTCCCTTCTGTCCTGGTGTCCGAGTCTTGCCGCTGCCAACACACGTTCTCTTGGAGCAATAAGCCCCTGTACTACATCTGCCATCACTGCCATCATGACTAATCCGCAAAGGGGGACACACCTGTCATAGCTCCTAATTTTGGAGCAACTTTTCTGCTTGATACTACAGACCAGGGGCTTTTATAGTCTGGTTAGCTGCTTGAGATCAAAACCAGAGTGATTGTAAAACCTTTTGTTCTCCTTCCTCATCACTGTCGCCCTCGCAGGTTCATGGTTCTCAAGGAGCGTTACGGGTAGATAATCGGAATCCCTTGGGAATTACAGAGCACGGAACCTCTGTGTCCGTGTGTTCGCAGAGCCAGGCCGACCGCTACAGCGACGCGCACAGGGAGCTCTTCCGCCACTTCATCCGGACCCTCAAAGGTAGGGGAAGCTGCAGCGCACGGGGGTTTGCTTCCAGCAAAAAACAAGCTGTGCCAGTGACAGGTGCAACTTGGAGTTAGTGCCTGATATACCAAGAAAAAAAAGGGTAGATGTGCAATAAAAAAATAATAATTGTGTTCTGTTGAAGTCGACTGTGTTTGACGAAAAATACGGGATTTTAGTTACAGGAGAGGTGATAGCAGTATTTTCTTTTCAAAGGCTGAGGAAAGGAGCAGTAGGAAAGACAGTCCTTTAACCTTGATGCGGGAGCTGCTGCCGTTTGCAGTCATTAAGCTGCGGTGCAGGCAGGGCTGTGCTAGTGCCAGAGCGGGTCCAGGCAGAGCAGACAGAACCTCCGTTTTATCCCGTTTTCCTCATCTCTGCAGGCAAAGAACCTCCCATGATAACCAAAGAGCAGTTTCTCTGGACAATTCAGGTAGCTGCAGCTGCAGAGCAGTCCTGGAGAAATGGATCTGCCGTTGACTTACGGAATGAAGCAATAGATTCGTCTGTAATCAAGACTGAAATAATGTGATGCTCCTGTGGTGGAGGATCACCCTGAGCTGTGCAACGGTGAAGTCTTCTTACCCAGTGATGTCTCCACTGTTACCTTACTTGTCTACAAGACTTCCCTTCTGACACTGCCACTGGAAATGCCCAGGACTCGGAGGCACTTGGAGCTGGAAGGGCTCCGCGCTGGAGCCGCGGATGCTCCTCAGCGCG